CAGGAATCTCTCCTGCTTATTATATCGCTTGCTTGCTGGGCTAACCACCCGTTTGATGAAATCAAAGGAAGCTCGCATCATAACAAATCGGGGCTGCTCACTCGGGGCTCACTCGTTTTCGCTGCCAATGCTATCTCGCGCTTGCGCTGTATGCCTGCACTCCGCAAACTGACTAAGCAAGCGCGGTGGCATCTGAAAAATGGCCACGCAACCTCGATGATCAGTCCATCTCGTCGCCGACGTCAGTCCAGTCTGCGCGCTGCGCCGCCAGCACAGCTCGACGTATGGGCCCTCGACTGTTAGCCCAACTCAGCTCAGGGTCGTGCTCTGGTCGAACATGTCCCCACAACTGCAGGAGCCGCTGCGCACTGATCATGGCGTGCGGGCTGGTGCTGGCGACCCGCAGCATGCGGCGCCATTGCACTGCAGGTGCAACCGCAAGCTTCGCCGATGAGTCGCCGTTGAGCACCGCCTTCGCCGTCGCGCTGACACCGCCATTTGCAGGTAGCTTGCTGCGCGCATGGGCAGCCCGCAGCTTCCGCCACTCTGCATCATCCATGCCAGCAATCTCTGCGCCGTGACATGCTTCAGGAGTGATTCCAACTTTGACGATCTTGCCGCGCGCCTGGGCCATGTCAGCGCCGGCAATAGCTTTGCGGGAGCGTCGAAACTTACGCAACCGTCGTATCATTTTCAGCTACCGCTTCTGCCTCTGCTGGCTGGCGCCCGCAGCTCTGCGTCGCCTGCCCTCGTTGATGTCAGTGCCAACATGCGCCGCGTTCTGCTTGGCCACCTTTCTTGGTAGCCCAGCGGCTATCGCAACTTGTCTCGCCAAAGAAAGAGTGCTGCCAACCGCTACCGGCTTATCGTTGACCGTGGCTTCTATCATATCGGAGGCCTCGACAAAGTCACGGTATGCACGAGCCGCCAATTGCACCGCCACTTCGGGACTGCTGCTGGACAACCTCATACTGTTATCATCAATGCAACTCCGAAAGGTCATCCAGGCATGCTGCTCAACAAGCCAGTCAAACTCATCAGCAGCCCCAACATTGACCGAAATGTCACAGCACGCGTCGCCTGCAGGAAGTCCGAGATCTGGGAAAAGAGTCGACTCGCTGTGGTGCCCCTGCAATCTGAGGATCCGCGGGGCACGCCACATGTTATAGGCCGGCTTCGCGTAACCTGTTGGCGCGCCCTTAGCACTGTACTTATCTCTGAGCCGTGACAGCCGGGTCCTCTCATAGTACTTACTGTAATCGGCAATGACGGTGACGCCACATCGCGAGGTGGCAGAGTCTGCTTCAGCCTCAGCAGCCTGGGTCCATGCGCAGTCGAGCGCACGGCGCCCTCGACCTGCACCCCAGTAGGGTCTGTCCAGCGCCACCTGCAGCTCATCGAGAACAGCGCGCCTGGCCATCTGCCACACGCGGTAAAAGCCCGCATGCAATACTATCAATCGATGTCCTTCTGACTTCCCTTTTGGGATCATAGGGTTGCCACCCGCGTGAGCTGTCGTGGGGGCAGACCAAGCGCTTCAGAGCACGTGAACAGGCTGGCTACTATTTCCAGAGCGCCATCTCATCCAGCATTGCGAAGTGGCGAGGATGGAGGCCGCCAGCTGAGGCCGACGTCGTCTCTGGAACAGAACACGCAACAGCGCGCAGCTGGTCTACCGTCATGGGTGGCAGGTGGCTTCTGTCAGGAATCCAAGCCTCAGCAGGCCCCTTCGCACTCTGCCATAACTGAAGGAGGAGGAAGAGGGGGAGGAGGAGGAGGAGGAGGAGGAGGAGGAGGAGGAGGAGGAGGAGGAGGAGGAGGAGGGGGAGGAGGAGGTGGAGGAGGAGGAGGAGAAGAGGAGGAGGAGGAGGAGGAGGAGGGAGGAGGAGGAGGGGGGGGGGGAGGAGGAGGAGGAGGAGGAGGAGGAGGAGAGGAGGAGGAGGAGGAGGAGGAGGAGGAGGAGGAGGAGGAGGAGGAGCAGTGGAGCAATGCAGAGAGCGGCCAGGTGGATCACGAAGCCGCCTCGGGAAAAGTATGGCGACCCAGCCAGGCTGGGGTCACCTCAGGCGGCGCGGTCAAACGCCGGCACCGTGCGCAGGAACTCACGCGGCCTCCTTGGGCAATGAGTCCGAGCCAGGGGCGCCTTCGACCCTCCACGCGCCACGCAGGCCGACGGCCTCGGCCCCGGAGCACTCGACCCCCAACCTCGGAGTCACCTGCTGGGAGTCTCCAGACTCTTTCAGAAAATCCGCCGGCGCGTCGGCCGGCAACAGCGGGCCAAGGGCCTCGCCCGTCTTGGGGTGGCGGCCCTTTTGAGCATTCGACAGGGGCCTCTGCAGCCGATCCCGCTCCGCCCGACTCCCAGTCGCCCCAGTCCCGCCACCCCTGCAAGCGCGAACCAGGCCGACCGAGAGGCGCTGCGGGCGCGCCGCGTGCGCACCGCAGCGCGTGCAAATTCGAACACGCTCCGGCCCCTGCACCTGATGGCCAGGCCCTGGAGTTTGGGGATCGCAGAGGCGGGCGGACAGAGATTTCAGGGAGGAGGAGGGTGGTGGCCTGCCTCTAACATATCTTGCAGCCGAAGGCTCCCTCTGGGAAGCCGACGAACACGTGCGTGGTAGGCTTCCTCGCGCGCCGAGCTCTCGGGGCGGGCGCCAGGGGCTTCCTGACTACGGTTGTGGCCATCTTTGCAACTCCCTCTCTGCAGCAAAAGCGAGACACCTCATTCGGTCAGCGCGTGCTCACGCTGAAACTTGAAAGCCCGAACGACCGACGAAGATCCCGACATCTCGAGCGCGGCCATCTTCGCGAAGCAGTCGGCCCTCATATTGCCGTACAAGTTGTCTAGCGCCTCGCCCGACTCGGTGCACGCCGACAGACCCTCATCGACTGACCGATGAGCCTTGGTCCAGGTGAAGACGGGTCGGCGCTCGTCAGCACTGTGCAACTGATGTATTTTGCGCCAGGCGCTGGTGTGCGGGGCAAGGGGCTTAGCTTGCTTACCATCCCAACGGGCCCTTTCACGGGCGAGACTTACATGATCAGTAGCAGACTCGGTCGGCCTGGCAGCAACATCAAGCCCGCCGCAGCGCGGCCACTCCCCCTGCGCGGGGAACGAATGGTTTGAATTGGGCCGCATAGGCCGCCACAAACCGCTTTGAACGGGGCGAGATTAGGCGTCGAGGCCACCGCGGCCCATCTGCATCTCCTGGACTCAGGAAAAAATCACGGTCAACACAAAAACCATCACCGTAGACTTTTCCTTGCCAGGGGACCGCCGCGGCTCCCCATTCTCTGGCGGGCAGCAGGCTAGGCTCAGACAGAGGGCCTGGGAACAGGCCTCCGTGGGATGGCGAAGAGCAGGTTGACGGGGGCGAAGTCCCACTCCAGGCCTGCACCAGTTCGCCCCTGAATCCAGATGTCCTTCCTGGCCTGCAAGGCGTCGTCGGGGCAGGGGGGCTCCTCTTCGCCTTCATGCGGCTCGTGGGTCGAGCAATAAAAGATCTCGCGCTCCAGGTCCGAGGGCCCGTGGCCACAGAACTCGCAGGTCGCGTTGTTCGTGTAGCCCGCCAAACGCCGTCTCTCAGGTGACCACATACCGTTAGACTGCAACTTGGCAAGAGCTCCTCGAAGACCATTGGGCAGCGATTGCACGTGCCCTTTCCCCAGAGCTCGCTTCCAGATGTGCTGACGGCCACCTCCTTCATCCCGCTGGGGAGCTCCAGGAAGGCGATCCATAATCCTGTAACTTTGCCATCTCTCCAAGCTGGCGAACAGGTGGTGCTTCAACTCGCTGGGGGTCACCCTGGGCAAGTCGCACGCAACGCCGAGGTCGTCGACAACAACCGTGGACGACGCCATGTCCCAGCACACTCGTTTCAGCGTGAGCCAAAGCGCCGAGAGCGGGCCTCTGGCGCTAGCCCATGTGAACTGAGAAGCGTCCCTGATATGGTCGCGGAGCGCCACCCACGCCTTCTGGAGGTGTGACGGCGAACCGCGGAGCTCCCATACCCAGGCTGAATGCAGCTGCAAGGTGTTCCAAGTGGCGTGGTAGAGTGGGTTGTGTGTGTGTGCGCTGCTTCTGCACAGCGAGGTATAGGGCGAACGACCCTGAGCCTGTGAATCCACACAAACTCCCAGCAACGCTCCTCATCTGCTTCAGCTCGCTGTCGCTGATACCACTGACGGCAGCACCGTGAGGAGGAGGAGGAGGCGGAAAAGGAGGAGGAGAGGCCTCGGAGGGGAGGAGGAGGAGGAGGAGGAGGAGGAGGAGGAGGAGGAGGAGGAGGAGGAGGAGGAGGAGGAAGGAAGAGGAGGAAGAGGACGAGGAGGAGGAGGAGAGAGGAGGAGGAGGAGGAGGAGGAGGAAGAGGTTAAGGATAATAAGGAGGAGGAGGAGGAAGAGGAGGAGGAAGAGGTTGAGGATAATGAGGTGGAGGAGGAGGAGGAGGAGGAGGAGGAGGAGGAGGAGGAGCAGGAGAAGGGAGCAAGAGTAGGAAACAGGAGCCGGGAGCATGAGGGGGGAATTATTTCGGAAGGAAGGTGAGAGACGGGACGAGAAAGAGGGGACCGACGCTCCGTCCTCCTCCTCCTCCTCCGTCCTCCTCCGTCCTCCTTCTCCTCCCTCCTCCACCCTCCTCCTACATCCTTCTCCACCTCTCCTCCTCCACCTCCATTTCTTCCTTCCTCCTCCTCCGTCCTCCCCGTCCTCCTCCTCCAGCCTCCTCCTCCTTCCTCCTCCGCCCTCCTCTTCCGTCCTCCCTCCTCTTCGTCCTCCTCCTCCTCCTCGTCCTCCGCCTCCTCTTCCGTCCTCCCTCTTCCGTCCTCCGTCCTCCGTCCTCCTCCGTCCTCCTCCTCCTCCTCCTCCTCCTCCCTCCTCCTCCTCCTCCTTCTCCTCCTCCGTCCTCCTCCTCCGTCGCCATCCTCCCAGGAGAGCGAGCAGGGCGCGGGGGAGGGCGACCGCGGGCGCGCCGGGGGGGGGGCCGGGGCGCGGCGGCGTGCCTCCTCCAGGAAGGTCCGCATGGCGCCGAGCGCCTGCGGGGCCCCCGCGCCCCGCTGCTGCTGCTCCTGCTAGAGGAAAAAGAACTATGCACATACACCGATTCTGGCCAGGCCCATCCTGAGCCCAGGATCGGTGCATACGCCCTCCTACCTTGGCCAGGAAGGAATATGCACCGATCCTGGGTCAAGGATGGGCCTTGCCAGGATCGGTGCATGTGCATAGTTCTCTTCGCCCGATCCTGCGGAGCTCCGCCCCCGCCAGAGCGGCAGCCATGCCTGGGAGAGCGCTCCAGTAATGTCTCGCGATCGCGGCCGCTGCGGGCCCTGACCACCCCCGGGGTGACGTCAGGTTGCGTGCTGACCTCCGAGTGGGTCAGCGCGCTTTCTCAGTCGGCGTGTCGACACTGGGCGGAAGGGGGGGGGGGTCTAGCTCCAGACCTCTGCCTAGTGCGACTGTCTGCGGCAGTGCGTCCTGGTGGGGGACTTCACCTGCTCGAAACAAGCGCCAAAAACAGCCAAGATCTACTCCATGGGGAGGGGGGGCGCGAAGGCCCGCGCCGATCGGCAAAGCAATGAAGCAACAAAACCGATCACTTGTCTTTGGCCAGCCGCAGACATGGCCAAGAGTCAAGCTACTGGCCCCCCCCACCCGAACGTCCCCTCCCCCCCGGGGGACGCCCGCTGCCGCCCGGGAGAAAAGCATGACAAATGCTTGGGCTCCCCTCAGGACCCGCTCAAACGCGGTACGGTGCACAGTACAGTCGGGGTGGAGTGGAGCGGGCACGCGGAGAGGACACAAAGACCCTCCCGAGGGCCACACTGCCACAGGAATGTGAGCAGGCATGGGCCGCGCGAGGCTCAGGGCACAAGGGCACCCTCGATTTGGCAGGGCCGACATTATCATCAGTCTTGACTGCAGTTCGGCCGAAAGGGGGCTGCGAGACGATGTGCACCCAACTACTCCTCGGCCGAGAACCGACGGCGCCTCGGGGGACGCCGGCGCGGCACGGTGCACACGTGCCGTCCGTGGAAGCGCAGCGCCCAGCACTCGCGCCCTCGAGGCGTCTCTTGGAGCCTCTCGGGAGAAGCCTGGGCCCCGCCGTGCGGCGCGCCGCCGTGCGGCGCGACGCGCGATCTCATCTTGGCGCCCTCGCGCCCTCGCGTCGCCCCTGCTATTGAGTCGGGCGTGTCCCCCTACAGGGGGATTTGCGACAACAAATAAGACATGCTCAAACAATACTCCAAACTGGTCAAAACTATTGAAAAAAAAGTCCCCAGACTAGTTTGTGACTATTTTCGAACATTCCCCCTGTAGAGGGACAAGCCCGACTTAACCCGACTAAGGGCGCCTCTCCAGCCCAAGCCGCGACGCGCGAAGAGCGGTCTTCTTCGCATCCCCGCGAGCCGGGTCGGATCGTCTTAGCGCGCCGCGAACCATGATCGACCCACGAACCCAGAAAGGAGCGTAAACGTTCGAGGCAAGACGGTGCTTTCAAAACGCCGAGCTGAGCGTAGGTCAATTGCAATGCGAAAGGTATCGATAGTGATGTTGCGTGCCAGAAGTTGTGTGTGTTTCTGTCGTGCTGACATGCGATGTCTCATGCCACGATGCTTTGCCTTGTGAACAATATTACTGTCGATCAAGTCGCCCTTGGCATTCCTGACAGGACTGAGCTGTATCTTAAGCTCGATCTGGCTGTGTGCAAAACTGGCCCGAGCTAGTTGCAGACGACACGTGTGGAACGCCCAATCATCTCGACCTCAAGATCCGATTCAATTCCGAAGCGAAAGGGACGGCACGGAAACCGATGGGAACCCGCGTATCATCTCGCTTGTCCCGCTCGGGGGCGTTGGGAGCCTACGTGTTTTCACGCTGTTCCCGCATCGACCCCCCGCGGATCTCCCACCCCTTCACTCATCAGTGGTCCTGCACCCCTGTCTTTTCTCCCCTTCCTCCTTCTCCCCTCCTCCTTCTCCTTCTCCTCCTCCTCCTCCTCCTTCCTGTGTCCTCCTCCCTCCCTCTCCCCTCCCCATCCTGCGGCTCCCCTCCCCTCCTCCTCCTCCTCCTCCTTCTCCTCCTCCTCCTCCTCCTCCTCCTCCTCCCTCCTCTCGCTCTCTCCTTCTCTTCATTGAGAAGCCGCTGACCTACAACGTAGGCACAGAGGCGGGATGGGTCAAAGGCCGCTAGAAACATGATTTCGGGTAAAGAGTTCACAAGCCTCGCCGCCACCCCCAAATGAGATGAATCCTAAGGTTCCACAAGCCCCCCCGCCCAAAAAAAGGGATTGGAATGCGACGAGGCCTTCAGGAGGCTCACGGGCGTATCCATCCAGCGTAGGAGGTGAGGGGCTCAATCTCATATACTCTTGGGCTGGGAAGCCCTGGATCATATATGCCCCCTCCTCCATTCGGCCGGCCGCTAACCCGAGTCACTGTCAGTACCCACCGCCATTCCTGTCATAAACCACTTGTAACACCCACTGGCGGTTCACTTTTGGAATGCCCATGTGCTACGCAAGCTGTATCGCAGTGACCATGGAGCTGCAGACAGGCAAAGGGGGCCGACTTGCAACAGGGCATCAGGAAGCCAGTAGGGCGACGTTCAGACTAGGATGTCTCGCCTGGTCGCATCGCACAGTGCTTGGCAAACCACCCTGAAGGAAACCGAGCCACCAATATACATCGCTGAATTGCGGTCGGCGGCAGAAGCGGCAGTCTGTAAATGAGATAGCGCGATCCACGGGCACTTGGGTGCGAAGCATTCCTTGACACGTCGAACCAACATCACAATCAACATGGGATCTGGACCCCCCTTCACATAGAACCCTCTCTTCGTCGGGGTTTGCCGGTGCCGAGGGGGACGTCATCGTCGTCGTCGTCGGCGGCGGCGTCGTTTGCTGGAGTTTTCTGTGCGCTGCGGCCAGGAGGTGCAGGAGGCAGTGGAGCAGTGGGGAAGCAAAAACAATACCGCGGGTTTATGTCGCGTCGTCCCCGGCGTTGGTTCCTGACACCGCGGGGATCGCTCAACCTTGAACGATGGGCCGTTTCCGAAACGTCCGATTGTTCTACATCCACCGATTCTGGGTCGCCGGCGGCGTTCAACGTAGAACGCCGGCGGTGGGGCCGCCGCCGGTCGACACGACGCAAATCTACCGTAGTTGCGGTCGGACGTAGGACAGAATACCATCCTTCATGAACATGAGGCCCTCCGCCGGCCAAAAGGAAGAATATTCGAGGGTACCCCTGGAGGCCTGGAAATGGGCACCAGCAGCGACTCAGGGGGTTGCCTCCACAGGGGGAAGATGATCCTAGAATTCGGTGTTGGTGGTAATATTTCGGCCACCTTGGAAGCCATGATATTGCCACCATCACCGAGATCGGGATCTTCTTCCCTCGGTGGAGGCACACCGCTGAAATTGGTGTTGGCGTCAACCTCTAGGCCTGCGATACCCTTCCCCAAGGCGCACAACTTGCCGTCGCTCGGACGTCCATCTCCCGTGCGTTTTTCGGTCTCGTGCGTGTTTCTTTTGCTCGATGGTCCAGGATGGACCTCAAGGATCCTCGCCGAGGAAGAAATGCACACGTCCGAGTGAGGCCAGGACAAGCACATCCAACGCGCACGAAGATCAACAAGGGCTCCCAACTTCGCGCTTCGCGCTGCGCGAAGCGCGAATAACTTCGCGCTCTCGCGCCGCCCCCCCAAAGGGAGAATAGGAGGACGAGGAGGAGGGGGCGAAGGAACGAGGACCGCGAAGCGCGAATAACTTCGCGCCCTCCCCGTGCCGCATCCAACGCGCACGAAGATCAAGGCACCCGGGACAGCAGGGCAGAGAAGCCCTGAGGGGGAGGAGGTGGAGGAGGAGGAGGAGGAGGCGGAGGAGGAGGAGGAGGAGGAGGAGGAGGAGGAGGAGCAGGGAGAAGGAAGAGGAAGAGGAATAGGAGGAGGAGGAGGAGGAGGAGGAGGAGGAGGAGGAGGAGATCAAGGCACCCTCCCCGTGCCGACCTCGGTCGTATGCCTCGGCCCGACCGTGTCAGTGGCGCGCCGCCGTGGGGGGGGCCGTCGATAGGCTCAGGTCGGGCCTGCTCCCCTACGGCAGGTTCGCGTCGTGCCGACTTCGGCGTTGGTTTCTGACACCGCGGGGATCGTTCCTTGAACGATCGGCCGTTTGCGAAACGTCCAAATCGTTCCACATCGAACGATTCTGGGTCGCCCGCGGCGTCCAAAGTTGAACGCCGCTGGCGGGGTCGCCGCCGGTCGACACGACGCAAACCTACCGTACAGGGGGAGTTTGGGCGAGAAATAAAAGTACTCAAAACATACCCCCCAAATGGTTAACAAATGACAGAAACATCGTCCCCAGGCTATTTTTTGACTAGTTTGGAACATCCCCCCTGTAGAGGGACAAGGCCGACTTACAGATAGGGGAACAAACAATGCCATAAACAGAACTATTTGGAGGTCCGCGCGGATTTCTTGGATCCGCGCTGGACCCCCCTCCCTGGCGCGCGGAGCGCGCCGGGGGCGGCGCCGCCACTAGGCCCCAGCGCCGATCCGAGAAATCCGCGCGGACCTCCGAGTTATCATGTTTGTGTCGTTGTTCGTTCTCCTCGAGGAGTCCCATCCCGTGGGGGGGAGGGGGGGGCGCCCGCGCCTGTCGGCTGCGATCGGCCTCGCTCTCGTGGAGCTCCCGCAGCCTCCCCAGGTCGCTGGAGAGCACGGACAACTCGCGGCGCTGGTCCTCACGAGGGCTCCCGGGGCAGCAGGGCAGAGAAGCCCTGAGGGGGAGGAGGTGGAGGAGGAGAAGAAGGAGGAGGAGAAGGAGGAGGAGGAGGAGCAGGGAGAAGGAAGAGGAAGAGGAATAGGAGGAGGAGGAGGAGGAGGAGGAGGAGGAGGAGGAGGAGGAGGACGAGGAGGAGGAGGAGGAGGAGGAGGAGGAGGAGGAGGAGCAGCAGGAGCATCCGTCGGACGTCTGGGTCTCTAGCCTGCCCAGCTCGCAGGCTCGGCGTCAAAAAAGGGCGCCGATGCGGCACCTGGCGATGGTCAGGCTCGCTGGCAGCCCTAACGTTGCCCATAACAATGGCCACGCTCGCAGGAGCACGACGGTGATGGGCCACACTCGCAGGAGCATCCGGAAGGGGCAGTGCGAGAAGCAGGATGGGTTTGATTGATTGGGCAGCTGATGGCGGCAGCTGTGGCACTGTGGCTGACGCTCAAGACGAGTGGCAAGGGCGGCCGAAGCAGAACAACGCCCAAGCCAAGGGGAGGAGGAGAGACGGGTGAAGACGACGACGACGACGACGACGACGAGAGAGAGAAAGAGAGAGAGAGATAGAGACAGAGAGAGATGAGCAGCAAAGGACGGGAATATGGGGGAGGAAAGACGAGATCAATGAGACGCCGCCTTTGGGAACCCGTCAGCATGCTCTCCTGTCGTTGAAGGAGCACCAGGCTTTCGGAACGCAGCGGCTGAGCAGCACGCAGATGGGCTCCTCTCGGCGGCGAGTCATTGATACCTGCTATTTTCCTCTGGAAGAGGGGAGGAAGGAGGGGAAGAAGGAGCAGGCGGGGGTGGTGTCTGAGGAGATCATGCTGAAGGAGGGGGGGGGAGGAGAAGCAGGAGGTAGAGGAGGGAAGGCGCACCAGAAGGAGGAAGGAGGAGGAGGAGGAAGAAGAGGAGGAGGGGGAGGAGGAAGAGGAGGAGGAGGAGGAGGAGGAGAGGAGGAGGAGGAGGGGGAGGAGGGGGAGGAGGGGGCGGAGGGGGCGGAGGCGGAGGAGGAGAAGGAGGAGGAGGAGGAGGAGGAGAGAGGAGGACGAGGAGGAGGTGGAGGAGGAGGAGGAGAAGGAGGAGGAAGAGGAGGAGGAGGAGGAAGAGGAGGAGGGGGAGGAGGAAGAGGAGGAGGAGGAGGAGGAGGAGGAGGAGGAGGAGGAGGAGGAGGAGGAGGAGGAGGAGGAGGACGAGGAGGGGAGCGGGGCAGCGAGGGCGCGGCACGGCGCGCGTGGGGCGGGGAGCCGGGCGCCTCTCGCCCTGGCCTCCAGGGGAGGGCCCCCCCCTCCCCGTGCTCCTCCGGGCCCCAAGAGGAGGGCAGTGTCCCCGGGGTCCTCGAGGGGCCCACGCCGAGGGGGCCTCGAGGGTCCTCGGCGTGGGCCTCGGGGGCCCCCGAGGCCCACGCCGAGAGGCCGCGCCCGGGCTGAGGACTTGGGCACGGACCGACCGTCCCGGCATTCCTGTAGTCCTACCACGAAATGTTCGTAGAGCCCCAAAATGTTCTGAGAACACAAACAGTGTTCTTAGAACATGAACCCGATGTGTTGAAACAAGACAGACCCCGCCAGTCACGTTCTAAGAACATTTCGTGGGAGCCACAAAAGGCTCTTAGAACATTGTTTGGTGGGGCTATAGGCGAGCCGGGACGCTTCGCCACTGCTCGAAGGACACACTTCGGGCCGTCGGAGAGCTCTGGGCCCCGCGCCCCCCTCGAGCCACGGCCTGCGCCTCGCCGCCGAGGGCCCGTGGGGCGTCGCTCGACGGGGGGGGGGGCTTGGGGAGCTTTTGGCGGCGCGCGCAAGGGGCTGGAGGGAGGGGGGAGTGCTTCTTATATCGGCGGTGGACAGACCTCCCTTTGGTAAGGTAAGCCTCCCCTGAGTGAAAGCGGTCTGGGCCTGGGACCGGGACCGACGGACCTGGGCCCGCAAAAACGACGGCCGCGACGCCCCCTCGCGAACCGAAAACGGCCAATTCACCAATCGAAGTGTCAGGGCAGGAGGTCGATCAACCTCCGAGAGGAGGTGTGTGGGGGGGCTCGGGGATCCTTTGGCGGCGCGCACAAGGGGGTGGAGGGAGGGGGGAGGGCTTCTTAGGAGGAGGCTGCTTCTTAGAAGGGCCCTGCGATGCGGGCCCCGAGAGGGCCCCAAGAGCCCTAGACAGCCCAAGAGGGCCCACAATACGCACCCGAGATATTCCAGGGCTGGCGGCGCGCACAAGGGGGTAGGAGGGGGGAAGTCTTCTTAGAAGGAGGCTGTTTCTTGGAAGGCGCCGGCCATACGTCTATAGATAGGGCCCGCGCCTTCTAAGAAGCAGGGGTGCTTCTGAGAAGCCCTCCCCCCTCCCACCACCACCCTCTGCAAGCCCGGGTCAGTCTGGCCTCGCAGGATCCTGCAACAAGTCCTGCAGGATCCTGCAACATCCTGCAGGATCTTCTGACCCAGGTCACTGCTGCAAGCCCGGGTCAGTCTGGCCTTGCCTTGCCGTCGCTCGGACGTCCACTTCCCGTGCATTTTTTTCGGTTTCGTGCGTGTCTTTTTTGCTCGATGGTCCAGGATGGTCCTCGATGGCCCTCGCCGAGAAACAAATGCACACGTCCGAGCGATGCCGAGTTGCAGGATCCTGCCCCAGACATGCGACGTCCTGATTTTTTCAGGACGGCGTCTCTGGAAGTCCAGACCCTTTCCACAGGGCTGGTTTTTCATCCTGAGTCGTTTTGTGACGGCCCCGAAGCCCGGTAAGGGCCCCCAGGGGCCGAAAATATAGAACAACCTGCCATCCTGATCTTTTTTACGACGCGATCGTGTCTGGGGCGGGATCCTGCAAACTCCCCCCCCCCGGCTCTGCAGGATCCTGCAGGATCCGGCGCCCCGACGGACCCCCGCCTCCAGAGCCCCGATGGGGTGCCTGGGGCCCCGCCTCCCTGCCGCCGCTCGGACGTCCATCTCCCGTGCATGTTTCGGATTCACGTTTTTTTGTTCCCCCTTGTTTTTTGTGTTTTATATATGATAAAAATATTGTATACATAACATTCGTATTATTATTATTATTGTTATTATTATTATTATTATTATTATTATCATTATTATTATGATGATTACTATTATTATTGCGTATTATTAGTATTCGTATTACTATTATTATGATTAATCTTATTATTGTTATTATTGTTATTATTACTATTATTATTATTATTATTATTATTATTATTATTATTATTATAAGTGATATGTATATATTGCTCGGTGGTCCAGGATGGTCCTCGATGGTCCTCGCCGAGAAAAAAATGCACACGTCCGAGCGATGCCAAGCCTCCGGAGAGCCGAGCGCGGCACGCGCCGCCCACCCGCGTGGCCCCTCCTTCGCTCGAGCCGCCCGCCCCCCCTCCTCCTCCTCCTCCTCCTCCTCCTCCTCCTCCTCCTCCTCCTCCTCCTCCTCCTCCTCCTCCTCCTCCTCCTCCTCCTCCTCCTCCTCCTCCCCTCCTCCCCGCCCATCTCGGGGGGGCGACCCTCGCAGCGCCCTCGCAGGGCCTCGCAGGGCCCGCCGCGGGCTGCACGGTGACTGGAGGCCTCCCAGATGGGGTCGGAGGACCGCGCCGCATCGGCGATGCATCGGCGATGCATCGGTGACGACGACGTCGGCGATGCATCGGCGAAGTCCGCGTGAAGGAAATCGGGCTCCGCATCGAGCATCGAGCCGCATCGGCGATGCGTCGGCGGTGCGGCGCGATCCTCCGACCCCTTCTCCTCCGACCCCCACCTAGGACTCAGGAGGCCCAGAGTTACACGACATGAGTACTGCTCTCCTCTCCCCTGGCCGTCCCAAAGATGCCTGGCACTCTCTGCCCTGGTACGGAACGGGGCACACGTGCTTGTATTGAGATTGTGGTTGCAATCCGGTGCGCGTGGGTGTTTTACAGTGGTGGTCCCGCTGCAGCGTGGGCCTCATTTCTGTATCGGCGCTTTGCTCCCGTCGTTCAGAGTGATGCTCTCACCCCAGCGCGGGCAACTTTTCTGGACCCGAGTCCTTTCTCCTCCCCCCGCTTCTTCCACTCCAGATCCCAGATCCTGCTGCTGTTTGTCCTCGTCCTCCTCCCTCCTCCTTCCTCATGATATCTTTTTCCTCGTGCTCACCATCCTGCTCACCCGCCATCTCATCCTCCGTTGTACACAGCTCCCATGTTCCGATTACGCATGAAGCTATGTTTTTGCAGAGTTACCTGTCGGCTATGACACGCGTCCGCGCATGGAGAACGCATTAGCGCAATGGGGAGGGATGGGAGCGTGGGATCGGATGCCTGATGCGGCGCGAGCGCACCCAGCATGCCACTCCATCCCTCTCCTCCCTCCTCCCCTCCCCTCCCTCCCTCCCCTCCCCCCCATTCCTCCCCTCCCTTCCCTGTCGGCACGTCAGCTGGGAGAACAGGACACGCCTCTCGGCTCGAAGGGGGTCGACGTGCCGCTGCACGGCAGGCCACGGGGGATACCCCCCGTGCAAGGCCCTGAGGGCAGCTGGAAGCTCCGTGCCTCTGCAGGAGGTAACGGACCTTGTGCTTCTGGATGCCCGGAGCCGCCCGGAGGCGCCAAGGAGGCTCTCGGGAGACGGCTGGCGTCCAGCAGCTCCCCACAGGCCCCACGCGAGCGACGAAAAGAAGCGGGCCTTGCGCGAGATGGCGTAGCGACCATGCGCGGCGGCTTACGCGGGCCACCAGCGCGGAACGCCACACTGGAGACGAGGGCGCTCACGCGCGGCCTTGCGCGGGCAGCTTACGCGCGAATATCGGCGCAACCGACCCCGTCTTCTTCCGTCGCTCATCTGGAGTCTAGAGGCCACCAGATGCAGCACGTGCCTTCTTTCCAGAAGGGGCGTGCGGTGTCACACCGCAAGGCGTCCTCGGTCACAACTTCTCCTTCTTCCCCTATGCTCCTGCTAGTCCACCTTCCCCCTCAACCAGCGTCCCCCTCCCCCATACCCCTGCTCCTCCGCCTCCACCTCAGCCCATAGCATCCCCATCCACATCCCCTATCACTATAACCACAATCATCTTAGACATCATCACCATCATCGCCACCACCATCAGCATTTCCACCACCATCACCATCATCATCACCATCACCATCACCACCAACGCCATCATCATCAACATTATCAATCGCATCAACACCATCATCTGCTTCATCATCAACATCATCATCACCATCATCAACATGATCAATCTCATCATCAACATCATCCCTTTCACCACCATCACCACCACCATCACCACCACAACCATCCGTCCATCCATCATCATCGCCATACATCTACCTCCTCCTCCTCGTTATCTGTCCCACCTCTCTTTTCCCTCCCTATGCCTTCTGGGGCGCGGGGCCCCTAAACGACTCTCTTCCCCCTCTTACTCCCGGAACCCGGCGCCATCATCACCATCACCATCACCATCACCATCATCATCGTCGTCGTCGCCACCACCACCATCATCATCACCATCGACATTACCATCATGACATCACCATCGTTGTCACCATCGCCATTATCATTACCACCATCATCGTCATCATCACCACCACAGTCGCCATCGTCAGCATCATCATCATCCTCATCAGCATCACCACCTTCATCGTCATCATCCTCCTCATCACCGCCACCATCATCATCATCATCATCAGCATCGGCATAATCATCATGCACACCATCATCAACCATCAACATCGTCGTCACCATTATCATCATCACCACCGTCATCATCATCATCAACATCACCATCGTCATCATCATTATCATCACCATCACCTTCGCCACCATCACCTACGCCACCACGACCGTAATCATCAGCATCATCATCACCATCAGCATCAACCTATTCATCATCAATCAGCATCGCCGTCACCATCATGACCATCGTCATCATCATCACCACCATCATCATCACCACCAACATCAGCAGCGTCATCTCATCATGAACACGTTGTATCGCCGTCATCGTCATCATCTTCACAACCAACAGGATCGTCATCCTCATCCTCATCAAACTCATCCGCAGTATTCTCATCATCCCAATCATCCTCCTCATCATCATCACCACCACCATCATCAGCATCAGCATCACCACCACCATCATCACAATCACCATCACCATCATCACCATCATCATCATCATCATCATCAGCATCAACATCATCATCACAATCAGCATCACCATCACCATCACCATCACCGTCAGCATCATACTCATCATCAGCATCAACGGCATCATCATCACCACCATCATCAGCAGCAACAACAGCAGCAGTAGTATTAGCACCGACATCAGCATCAACATCATCACCACCACACTCAGCACCACCGTCATCATCATCATCAGTCCTCCTCCTCCCTTCCTCCTCCTCCTCGTCCTCCTCGTCCTCTTCCTCTTCCTCCCCCTCCGCCTCGTCTTCCCTCTCGTCAACCTTCCCCCCCTCTCCCCCCCTCCTCGCTCCTGGGACTGGGGCCCCCCTCTCCTGGACCAGGCGCTGCAAGCTGCCGATGAGCACGCCGCTGCCGACGCCCGCGCCCCCGTTGGACTCTCCGACGGCGCCAGCCTCTCTGGGCGCGGGCGGCTGTGCCGCTGGGCAGAGCCAAAGGGTGATGGTCAAGAAAATGGTACAAGATGAAGAGGAGGTACAAGAGGAGTGGGAGCAGGAGGAGGAGGAGGAGGAGGAGGAGGAGGAGGAGGAGGAGGAGCAGGAGGAGGAGGAGGAGGAGGAGGAGGAGGAGGAGCAGGAGGAGGAGGAGAAGGAGGGGGAGAGGAGGAGGAGGAGGAGGGAGGAGGAGGAGGAGGAGGAGGAGGAGGAGAGGATGAGGATTAGGAGGAGGAGACGGCGGAGGAGGAGAAGGAGGATGAGGATGAGGAGGAGGAGGATTAGGAGGAGGAGGAGGAGGAGGAGGAGGAGGAGGAGGAGGGGTGAGGGAGCAATTTTACAAAAGGGTGAGGATGAGGAGGAAAATTTGATGGCCCAACGGGCCAGAGGCGTGCTAGGTTATCCTGTTACTGGTAAACAGTATTTCTTGTTCGCGCGCGCGGGGCGGCCCCTAGGGGTCCCGGGACGAAATGTACCCTGGCCGGTCCTACTCAGAGATGGGTTTTCCTTTTGGGCGCGGCTTTCAGGCGTCCCCGAGCGCTCCTGGGCCCCGAGTCCCCAAGACTGTCCAAGAGGGCTCGGAGTCGCCGACCGATCGGTCCAAGACTTCCAAGATAGCCTCCAGACGGCCGCAGACGCTCCCAAGACCCTCATGCAGGCCTCGAAGAAGCGTCTCAAGAGGGCTCCAGGAGGCCAAAATTATAGATTTCCCTATGGTTTTTGAAGGATGTTGGCGTTCTCATCTGTGCGGCTTCCCGACGTTCCAAGACGGCCCAAGAGGCCCCGCATATCGCCCCAAGGCAGCCCAAGAGGCCTCAAAGAGAGCCCCAAGAGGCCCAAGAGGGCTCCAAGACGGTCCAAGAGGCGTCAAGAACGGCCCAAGATATCCCTAGGTCGGCCCCAAGAGGGGGCCAGACGGGGAATCCGAACAGACATTTCGAGCCCTCGGCCCCAAGAGGCTCCCAAGACGCCCAAAGAGGCGTCGAAGAAACGTCTCAAGAGGGCTCCAGGAGGCTCGCCATCGGTGAGTGTTTTCTCACTCGGCGTTTCGACATTGGGCGGAATGGGGAGGGGGGGGGTCTGTCTCTGGACTTTTTGAAGGATTTGGGCGTTCTCATCTGTTCGTCTTCCCCACGCTCAGAGACGGGCCAAATATCGCCCCAAGACGGCCCAAGAGGCCTCAAAGAGAGCCCCAAGAGGGCCCAAGACGGCCCAAGAGATCCCCAGGATGGCCCAAGATATATCCCCGGGACGGCCCCAAGAGGGGGCCAGACGAGGAACCCGAACAGACATTTCGAGCCCTCGGCCCGAAGAGGCGCCCAGGAGGCACCAGGAAGCCCCCACGAGCCCCCCAAGAGACTCCAAGAGGCCGCTTAGAGCCCCCAAGAGAACCCCACAAGGGGCACCCTAAGAGGCCCCTCATCCTCCTCTCTTCCTCCTCCTCCTCCTCGCTCGCCACGGTCACACAAACATGTAGCACCAGTGATGCAAGATGGGCCGGCGGAATGAGCGAAGCGACTCAATAATACAAATGATAAGATTTGGCAACTAGTGAGCAGAATCTCAATCGGACTAGTAATGATACAATAAGCATAATATTACGACTACGAAGAATAGAAGCAATTCGAGGACTATGCATAAACAACAGACAAACAATAAGACTAACCCAACACATAATAAAAACAAAAACAATTCAAACTAAGAAGAACAAGGACGAGCACGAGGAGGAGGACGAGGACGAGGGCGAATAAGGAGGAGGAGGAGCTGTCGCCCGACTTGGGGGGGCCGCGCCCAAGGAGAGGCGCCCAGCCGAGGGCACCAGCGGCGGCGGGCTCCACAATGCCCTTCGGGGCGGCATCGTGTCAGCCCAGCGACGAGGCATCCGAAGGGGGCGCCAGCAGCTGCGGGGTCGCGCGCGCGGGGCGGGAGCCCCGCGCAGGCGCGAGCCGCTTGCAGAGGGCGCCCAACCTTCGTCGCAAAGTAAGAGGAATAAGAAGGACGAGGACGAGGACGATGACGAGGAGGAGGAGGAGGAGGAGGAGGAGGAGGAGGAGGAGGAGGAGGAGGAGGGGAGGGGGAGGGGAGGAGGAGGAGGAGGAGGGAGGAGGAGGAGGAGGAGGAGGAGGAGGAGGAGAGGAGGAGGAGGAGGAGGAGGAGGAGGAGGAGGAGGAGGAGACGGAGGAGCTGTCGCCCGACTTGGGGGGGCCCCGCCCAATCCTCGTCACAGGGCCAGGGGACCCCGCAGCGGGCGATGGCCAGGCGCGGCGCCCGCGCAGCGCCCACCCGGGGCGAGGCGCCCGCGGCGCCGCCCCGCCACGGCCGGCGCCGCTTCGGCACCATCGGCGACGAGCTGCACCGACCCCACGCGCTGGCCGGAACAACGCTCGGGGATGGACAGGCCCCCCTTTAGCAAAACGTGGTCTAGTGCAAACGACCACGGGCGCCCAAACCTGGCGGGCGCAGGCCCGGAAAATGACGGCCGCGGCGCCCTCTCGAGAACCGAAAACGGACAATTCACTAATCGACGTGTCAGGGTAGGAGGTCTGTCCACCCCCGAAACGCCGTGACGCCTGGCGGCGACTGGCGTCTGCAGTCAGGACCGGGCCACCACATCAGAGTCAGTGACCTGGCGGCTGTGGCCTGGTCCGTCGACCCCGTGGGCCGTGCCCGTGTTGTCGGTCACCGCTCCGTGGAGAGAGGGTGCTGCCCGTGGTGACGTGAGACGCTCCCCAGATTGCATCAAAGCACCCCGAGAGTGCGCCAAGACAGATCAAGAGGCGGCCGAACAGGCTCAAATCGGCCCCCCAAACGAGCTTCGACACCTTAGCAGGGCACTACAGGCGGTCCACTCCGAGGCCCATCAGAGGCGAAACGGCGAGACGGCAAAAAACAGTGATGGTCTTCAAGCTTTGGAGCCATGTTGGCCTCTTGGGGGGGTCCTTGGAGGGCTCTGGGGGGCCCTTGAAACCATCTCGGGACCGTCTTGAGGCCTCTCGAATGAGCGTCGACCTCATGTCAAACCTGCATCCCTCTTGCTCCTCCTCCTCCTTTGCCTCCTACACTCCTCACTCCCGCTTCTGCTCGACCTCCCGCTGCCCCTCCTCCCCCTCCTCCTCCTCCTCCTCCTCCTCCTCCTCCTCCTCCTCCTCCTCCTCCTCCCCTTCCTCCCCTTCCTCCCCTTCCTCTCCCTCCTCCCACCCCCCTCCTCCCCCTCCTCGGCTTCTGCAGCGCAGCGTCACCATGCAGCCGCTGCGTCAAAGGGGTCCAGCGTGTGCTCCGCGGCGACGCGGAAGTAGTTGTGGTACCCGCCCCGCGCGGCCACCCCCGAGGCTGCGCCGCCGAGCCCCTCGCCGGCCACGTGGAGCACCTGGCCGACGACGGCCACGTCGAGCGCCTCGGCCATCGCCACGAGGGCAAGCACCCGGCACTCGAGCCGCAGCGGCGCGTTGGCCACGCACGGGGCGTCGATGCGGGCGCAGGCGCCCTTCCGCGGCCGGGCCGCGCCCGCGAGGCACCCGGGCGCCGCCGCCAGCTCGAACTCGTCCTCGCCCCGGGGCGCCTCGGCGGCCGAGGCGCTCATCGCGAGCCGCAGCTCCCAGGGCACCGCGTTCACGCAGAACACGCCCGAGCTCCGCGCGTCGCGCAGCGCGTCCTTCTCGCCTCCGTCGGCGTGCGCGCCGCCGGCGCCGAAGAAGACGACGTCGGGGGCGAGGTGCCCGAAGAACGAGTACGGGGACAGGTTGTCCCCCCCGTCCCCCCGCGTCGAGACCCAGGCGATGGGCCTCGGCAGGGCCGAACCTGCACGGTGCTTTTCGTTCTCGTTCTGTGTTTTCGTTTTCCCCGCTTTTCTGTCTCGGATCCGCCCTTACCGCAGAACGACAGCAAAACGTTTTTCGTTATCCTTCTGATCTTTCGTGTTCCCCCGCTTTTTTGTCTCGGATCCGCCCTTGCCGCAAAACGGAAGCAAAACGAAAACACGGCCCACGAGATCGCCCAACGCACCGTTTTCGTCCTCCCCCGCTTTTTTGTCTCGGACCCGCCCCTTGCCGCAAGACGACCGCAAAACGAAAACACGGCCCACGAGATCGCCCAGCGCACCGTTCAGGTCCGGCGGTGGGCCTCGGCACGAGCAGGGCCTTGAACGGGTTGAACGGCAGCCCCGGGAGCTGCGGGGGCAGGTACTCCGCTCGGCGGCCCGAGGCCGGGGCCCGGGAGGGAGAGGGCCTCAGACCATGTCGGGCCTGTCCCCCCACAGGGGGGATCTTCCAAAGTAGCGAGAAGTTAGTGTGGGTACGATTTTTTGACTATCTTTTGACCATTCGGGGGCTATTTTTGGAGTATTTTCTTTTTTTCGCCCAAAATCCCCCTGTAGGGGGACAGGCCCGAGCTAAGCCCAAGTGGACGAGGGGCCTCAGACGTCGCCTTTCTGACTTGGGACCCCTTCCTGTCCTCGGGGCCCCACCCCTCAGGGCCCCACATCTTCCCAGACACCTCGCTGCTCCAATTTCCTCGATGCGTGGGCCCCGGAGGTCTGGACCACTTCTCCAGGACCTGTTTTAATAGTTTGGCGACGCGCGCAAGGGGGTAGGGGGTAGGGGGAGGGGGGAAGTCTTCTTAGAAGCAGGGGTGCTTCTAAGAAGCCTTCCCCTCCCCCCCTACCCCCCTCTGCGCGTGGCCGAATAATCCTGGGCTGTTTCCTGACGGTCCCAGGGCCCGGCGAGGGCCCCCGGAGGCCGAGAACGGCCCCCGACCGCCAGCTCCGATTTCGGGGAGCGCCGCATCTCTGGGCTCGAGCCGCCGATCCACGCCCCCCTCGCCGCGAGCGCCCGCGGCCGCGGGCCCCGCGCGCGCGCAGCCCGGCACCACCCAGCGGCCCTCGCCGTCCCGCTCCTCCGGGAAGGCCATGGCGTACTCCTCCCGGGCGGCCACGAGCCCGCCCCGCCCCGAGGGCTCCCACGCGCCCACCGCCCGCAGCGCCTGGGCGTCCACGGCGCCCGCGGCGTCCACCACGCGCCCCGCGACGTGCACGCCCACCACGTCCACTACCAGCCTGGAACATGTCCCTACCCCTATGCTGGGCACCTCCTCAGCACGATGCCAATCTTAGGCATTCTCTTATTCTTTGAAGGCGAAGCCCTGAGATCGTCATCGCCTCTTGGCGTGCCAATCTCAGGGATAGGGATACCCATCGGTCGGAAGAAGTAGGTAGAAACATGAAGTAGGAAGGCGTCGGAAATATATTGGGCTTCCGCCCCGCCTCCTGAAGAGGAGGGAAGAGGGAGAACCACTCGACTCTTCGAGCAGGAAGGCGCTGAAAGCAGATTGGCATCTGGGAATCCAAGAATACCTACGGCAGGTTCTTGTCGTGCCGACCCCAGCGTTGGTTTTTGACACCGCAGGGATCGTTCAACCTTGAACGATCGGCCGCTGCCGCAACGTCCGATCGTTCAACATCGATCGATTCTGGGTCGCCGGCGGCGTTCAACCTTGAACGCCCGCGCTGGGGTCGCCGCTGGTCGACACGACGCAGACCTACCGTACTTTCAACGACCGATGGGTACGTTCCAGGCTGGTACGTCCAGGAAGAAGGCCGCGCGCCCGCCCCCCAGCGGCACCTCCTCCCGCAGGCCGCACGCCAGCGCCACGGGCGCCGCGGCCACCCGCCGCGCCGCCGCCGCCCCGGGCGCCGGCGCCAGCTCCGAGGGCGGCACCTCGGCGCGCAGCGCGGCCCCCGCGGCGAGCAGCCGCGCCAAGCTGGAAGAGGAAAGAGCGCCATACTCGGGTCGGGCGAAAGGGGGGGATAGCAAAGGGGGGGTTTGAGAATCAGCTCACGTAGCTGATTTTCCCGGCGCCTCCCGGCGCCGGAGGCGCCCATGTATCGAGGAATGGGCCCCTCGGTCGGGCCGAAACCAGCTGCATGCAGCAGATTTCGTAACCCCCCCTTTCCCAAACCCCCCCTTTCGCCCGACCCGACATACGTAAGCACAAACTTTGGGCGCTCCGAGCGGATTTCTCGGATCTGCGCCGGGCCCCCCTCCCCGGCGCGCGGGGAGCGCCAGGGGCGGCGCCGGAGGCGCCGCCAGGGGGGCCCCGCGCGGGCCCGAGAAGTCCGCGCGGAGCGCCAAAAGTTCAGGCTCCTGGCGCGTTCTCTTCTTCGGCAAGCGCTCCCGCTGCTCCCAGGCGCCCGTGTGCACCACGGCCTCGCGCCGCTGCCGCAGCGCCCGCGACACGGGCGCGTCCGCGGGCAGCCCCAGCGCCAGGCAGGGCCGCCGCGGCTGGGGTCCCCCGCGCGCGGGCGCGCGGCCGCCGTCCGCGCAGCCGTTGTAGAAGCACGTCGCGGCCTCCAGCGCCGCGCCGCCCGGCTCGTCGCCGGCCTCGAGGACGACGAGCCACGCGAGGGTCGGGGGTTCAAAGATGGGGTCCTGAGGGATGGGGTCCTAAGGACGAGGTGCCAGAAACACTATACACTATTAATCCACCCTTGGCTCACGTCTTAACTATCCCCAAGGATCCGATGCCGTGATTTGTTCACTGCGGGGTCCCCGGAAGTCTCGACCCATTCCCCAGGACCGGCTTTTCATCCTGAGTTGTTTTTTGACGGTTCTGGGGCCCAGCGAGGGCCGCTGGAGGCTACAAATTGCGAAACAAGTCCGTCTTGATTTGTTCCATACGTTGGATCTCTGGGTCCCTAGGTCCGAAAGAGCGCGTTCTGTGGTCGCTTGCAGGGGGGGTGGAACCGGCCCCCCCCCTCTGGATGGAGGAAGGGGGGTTCGAACCCCCCCTTCCCCCCCCTCGCGCCCCTGCCGTGACGGAGGGGGGTGGGGGTGGGGTGGGCCCACACCCCGGCTCGAAACGCGCCGCCGGATGTTCCCAAGGCAGGCGCCCGTGAACGCGTTCTCTCTCTCAGGTCCCCATCCCTCAGGCTGGCCATCGCTCGGACGTCCATTTCCTGTGTTTTTTGTCGGCTTCGTGCGTGTTTTTTTCGCCGAATGATCGAGGATGCTCCTCGATGGTCCTCGCCGAAGGAAAAATGCACACGTCCGAGCGATGCCAAGCAGGATCCCATCTTGGAGCCACCGAGATGGGCAGCGGCGCCAGCCACGGCGCGGGCGCGCCGGCCGCGGCGCTCATGGGCGCGGGGGCGGCGGCCTCCAGGGGGGGGTGGGGAGGGCCGGGGCCGAGATCGCCACGGGGGAGGGCGTGGGGAGGGGGCTGGCTCGGATTCGCGGCTGGGTGCAAGAATTAAGTCGGGCCTGTCCCCCTACAGGCCGATTTTCGAGGAACAACTAACAATAGCCAAAACATGCTCAAAAAGGATCAAACAATCTTCAAACAAGTCGCCCGACTATTTTTTATATAACTATTTTTGAATATTCCTCCTGTAGAGGGACAGGGCCGATTTAATGAAAGGACAGGCCCTCATTTAGAAAAAGAAAACGCCGTAAACATACACGTTTGGCGGCGGCGCCTCAGGCGCCGCCCCTTGCGCGCTCCGTGCGCCAGGTGGGAGGTCCAGCGCAGATCCAAGAAATCCGCGCGGAGCGCCAACAGTTTATGTTTATGGCGTTTTTGTTCTTCTATCATTGGTAGAACCCCTGGGCAGGGCTGAGCGAACGGGGGAAACCCGACTCCAGACCCAGATGAGGAAAAGGAAACATACCCGCGGACATCTCCAGGCAAGCAGGGACGGTTCCGATGCCGGGATGGAGAGGGGGGAGAGAAGGGGAAGGGAACGAAGGAGAGAGGAAGGGAAGAAAAGGAAAGGATGAGGTCGAAGCATATGGACAGGGAAGGGGAAGTGGGAAGGGGCGGGGGAGGTGGTGCGGTGGAGGTGGAGGGGGAGGCGGTGGAGGGGAAAGGGTAGGAGAGGAACGGCTCGAAGGAGGAGGAGGAGGAGGCGCAGGAAAAACCGACGTCCGCGGAAGAAGGCGACGATCTCAATCAGAATGGGGAGCTGCGTCGGGCGACTGCGAGGCAATCTGGGTGATTTGCTGAGCAGCGACCGAGTCAACGGCTGGCTGATTGCAAAGAACTTGAACTAGTGTCCCTCTACCCCTCGACTCCGCTGTCATTGTGCAAGCCTGCTCGCCCAACGGAGGCTAAGCATGCCACGTGCACCTACCCACGGCACGAAGCTCAAAAGCGTGGCGGCACCCATTTGGCCAGCGCAGCCACTGCGAATGGTGCATGGTGCTGGCCTCAGCTGGCGAACGCCACGCCAGCGTCTGGAACGCTGTACACGCTTACGGACTGTAGGCCACACGATACATGGGAAGCAGATGCCGAGTGTTCTGCGCGACTGCGACATCAGGCTCTGCTGGCATTGAGCATGACCAAGTGCATCTCGCCGCGGCAGCCGGCGGCGGGAAGCACCCTGCGCCGATGTTTACGTGGAGGAGGGGACGGGGCAGGAAGAGAAAGATGGAAAGGGAAAGGGATATGGCAGGAGCTCGACCACAATAAACCTTCCAGTAGGAACTCAATCCTGAGACCCCAGGACGTCCATTGATGCTTGGTGCGGGCACGTCACGCTTTCCACAGCAAAGCCATCGACAATCAAGAAGCCCAGGGCACCCTGGAGGCAAGCAGGGTGCTTCTTGGCATGGGTTTCCACTGTATGAAGAGAGAGAGCAAGATGGGGATGGGGCAGACAAGGAGGGGACGAAGAGGAGGAGGAAGAGAGAGAGAGAGAGAGAGAGAGAAAGAGAGGAAGAGAGGGGAGGGACGAGGAGCAGGGGCGGGCAGAGGAAGAGCAGGGGCAAGGGGTAGAGGAAGAAGCGAGGATGCCAAATGTGGCACGGATAGAACGCCTCGCAACAGCGACAGAGGGAGGCGCCGAGGTGAACAGCCGTGGGCACAAAAGGCGCGCTGCGCCGCATCCTGCGGCAGCTTCGTGCCGTGACGACTTCGGCATCGGTCTCCGACGCCACGTGAGCGACGATGAAGAACGGGTCTTACGCGAGATGGCACAGGGACCTCACGCCGCAGCTTACGCGGGCCGCCAGCGCGGCACGTTACACTGGGAACGAAGGCGCTCACGCGCGAACTTACGCGGGCAACTTACGCGCTAATGTCGGCGCAGAAGACTCCGCTTTTTTGCGTCGCCCACGCTTGAAGAACAAAAAAGGGCATACACATGAACTGTTGGACGGTCCGCGCGGCTTTCTTGGATCCGCGCTGGACCCCCCTTCCTGGCGCGCGGAGCGCGCTAGGTGCGGCGCCGGAGGCGCCGCCAGGTGGCCCCAGCGCAGATCCAACAGTTTATGCTTATGCCGTTTTTCGTTCTTCGACACGTGGATTGGCCTACCTTGACGATTCCGTTTGCTTCGCGCTGGACCCCCCTCCCTGGCGCGCGGAGCGCGCCAGGTGGGGCGCCGGAGGCGCCGCCAGGGGGCCCACCTTGACCGACTGGTGTTTTTCGACTGCCAGACCGCACACTGGCCGACTCGGGGCTCCTGGCGGCGCTCGACCTCTGAAGGGGCCCTGGAACACACAACTAACTACACACAAATAAAACTATTCCCCATCTTTTCCCAATATTTTCTGGCTTTTCGTCTTCCCCCCCCCACTTCCCATATTTTCCCATATTTTCTGGGGAATCGACGATTCATTGTGTCTGTATGTTTTTCCCCTCCTGAACCTTGAGCGCACGCGCCGGGGCCGCCGCCGTGCCGACACGACTCGCGAACCTACCCCGCGCCTCTGCGCGCAGGTGGGCGTGCGGCGCGCGGCCACCCCTCGAAAGGCATACAGTGGAGGCCAGTCCACAAGAGACCTTCCACAAGAAACCCAGCCCTGAGACCCCAGGACGTCCAATAAGTGTTGGTGTGGGCACGCCACGCTTTCC